TAATGCTTCCGGAAACAAAGGTAGGTTTGGGAAGAACTGTTACAAGGAGGACTACACACCAAGTAGCACTGGTGATTGATAGGCTTGCTTTTGAGCAGGGGATGACGTGATCTGCTTGTGCAAAATATCCTAGTTAATGACAGGCCAAATATATCCATGTTTTGAGCTTAGAGTTCCTTGCCTTTATGAAACATTGCTAACAGCCCTTTAACACTTGAATGTTTTTCTCAACCAGATCGAGATGAGCTCTTGTTTTACAAACAACTGATCTTACATCAGCCCTAGCAACAAGAAAGTGCCATGGCAAACTCCACAGCAGAGATGGATGGAAGACTTCATATTCCATCTAAACCTCATGACTTCTCTCAAGTCAGTAATTATTTGTCTGAATTTCACATTGATTAGTGGACTATAGCAGAGCTTCAGATTCTCCACTTACCTCCTCTAAGCTCCTCTAGGCAGGCTGGGCTGCTCTGTTTTAACCAGTTTTCTCTTACTTTCAGCACAACTTGGTTTTGACTCATACCGGCCTCTATGGAGTAAGGAATCTGTGCTGACAAAGTCCCGCAGTCTTTACTTCAAGGTGGGACGATGTTCAGCATGCTTTCATTTCTAGTTTGGAAAAGTGCATTTGAACCAAGTCACAGAAAATGCAGAACATGGATTTAGTCAGCAGGAGTGCAAACTCCACTTTACAGTTTCATCACCCCCCTTACCTGTGCTTTGCTTCCATGTCTGATTAGGGAAGGGGAAGCTCCTGTTTGAGGAGCTAATGATGTCTCATGAGTGCTGAGGTTGTTAAAGCACCTTGCAATCTTTGCATGGAAAGCAGCACAGATGTGCAGAATTATCAGTGCAGCATAATCCCCCACGCATCTCTAAATCAGCTCCAGGACTAGGGGACTAAGACATGTAAGACTGAGATACTGGAGGCTTCTTTCACTACTCACCAGCTCAAGACAGACTACTAAATAAATGTTAGAAATAAAAAAACCTCTTCAGCCAAAAAAAAAAAAGCCACATAAGTGTAGCTGAAGGTAAAGAACGGGAATGCTGTCCTTAATGTCAGTCTGGAAACAGCTAAATTCATTTTTCTCTAGGAAGTGTCTGAAGAAAACGAAGTTGTTCCCATTAGGAACACTGAAACATCTACAAATTGGGATTCTTGGACTACCTTGTAAATGCAGGAGGGCTGGGGCTAGAGAATAGGAATGGAAAAGGAGATGAGATTTCTTTAAATTGTGCCCTAGTGTCAAGTGCACAAATGGGCTGAAGTAAAAAGTGGCAGAGTTTCTGCAAGCCCTTGAAACATTTTTTTCAGCTGAGACAACAGCAGCGGAAACCATTTCACAGTGGCTTCTAAGCTCTAGTGAGTGTTATACTACACACTGGGAAAAGAGATGTTTTCCAAGAATGGATCGTGGCAGGACAGACATTTCTTGAAAGAAGTACTGTGCATAGAAGGCGGTCAGTATGTCTTGCTGACGGTCTCAGTTCTTTGAAACGAAAGTTTGCATACCATAAGTAAGTCTTTTTCAGTTTTCAGAAGTATGTATGAAGGAAAATTTAATTCAGCAGGAGAGAAATGAGCCTTCCTGCTCCCTCATCTGCTTTAGCTTCAAACTTTTTTTTCCCTGGAAAAGACAGAGAGACCTGGTTGGCCTTTCCACTGCATTTTAACTGCTGCTGAGCTTTAAGATCTCTTACCCAGATTGTCTCAAGGCTACAAAAAAAACAAAAACAAAAACCACAACAACCCAAACTTGCTACCATTTCACAAGCCATTGCACAATTAACACAGACGCACACACTATAGCTAGCATCCTTGCACTACTTTGAGACTAACCCCTTTTTGTTCCTTTAAATAGGGAGAAGCTTTAATGTTACAAGCAGGTGGGGAACCAAATTTGAGTAAGCCAGTTTGCAGTAAAGGAAATGCTACAGAAGCTGAGCTGCAGTTAACAAAGTTTTGCCTTTTAAAAATGATTCAGTTTCTTCCTTAATTACTTTGCCTCGTTTGTAGTAATATAAAGAAAGTGCAAGATGCTTTTTCAACAAGGAGAAATCTTAGCTTTCCCCAACCCTATCCACTCCCAGTCAATAAATGGAAAAGATGAGGTGGAAGAGTCATCTGTGGATATGGACTATGCTTTGGTGGCTTTTGCTCGTTGGCTTTGAGAGCCAAAATTCAGACATTTTGTACATATAAATATATATAAATATTTTTGCTTATTTATGGAATGTTTGTGCATGTTTAGGGCACCAGTTCAAAATGATGAGGGATGGTTAAGGCTAAGAAAATGAAATTCATTGCAAAGCTATAATTTTGTCTTCATTTTTCTCCTTTATAAAGGAGACTAAAGCATCTTCCCTGTAATAGTCAGCCACTGTGTAATCCCCCATCAACACCAATTCTAGGGAAAACTACTCAGGACCCAGTCCCTGAGGCAAAAAGCTAGGACCTCATGATTTTAGCTCAAGTAATCCACATAATTAACAGCACGTTAGTGGAAAATTAAACATTGGAAGGCCTTGGACCTACTGTCACCTGAAAAAGAAAAGGCATTTTTCTGTACAAGATGGCCTAGATCCAAGCCTTTCAGCACACATAGTAATCTAACAATTGGCCAAGGGCTCCAGATCTATCTCAGGGGGCTACAACACAGCTGGAGAGTGCTGTGCTTGCTCCTCAGAAGTGCCAAGTGGCTCCCAGGAGTTCCTGCAAACCTCTCCATCTCTGCTGGGGGCACGTGCATCTTGCAGATGCTCCGGCATTGCAGGGGAACGCAAGGAAGCTGGACGCCCAGCAGCTACCATTCATTCAAGCTGCCCCATCTGCAAAGTTCCAGTCAGACCTTTCCTTACTGCTCCAATTTTGACTACCACATAAATTTACAGCACTGGCATTGTCTGAAGCAGGGAGCTAACACTAAGAACACCATTTGCCTCCAGGTACCTCTGTGGAGTTTCCTAAAACACGGAAACCATAGGCTTATATTGCTGAACATTTCTTTTTTCTTCATGCTAGCTCCTCTCCCCCTTTGAATACTTAGAAAACTGACAAGAACCAGCTACTGCACACACTCAGTCTGAAGAGGGGTGGTCTCAGTTCTCTGCGGGGACAAGAAGTTTTGAATTCATCCTTAGGCTCCTATGCAGCTTGGCATTGCCAAGGACTACAGTGGTACAAACCCTCTCCCTTCCTTTTGAGACTAGGAGGCCTTGATGCACAAGGTTTTGTCCTTTCTGACACATTTCCTGGACGGAGACCTTGCGGACTGAGAAGTGAAAAGGGATGCTTAGGAAACCCACTGCGGTACATCATGCAGCTGGTGGGCAGAGCAGGACATGCGGGGCAGTCTCCAGGCTGTATTGCAAGCAGAACCACCATGGAGTTGGCCATCCCCTTACTCTCCCTGCAACCAGGTGAGATCTGCCTCTAAGTCTACTCCAAAAAAATAAGACTTTGGTGGAAATAGAAAGACGTCAATGCTGGATTCTTCCTCTGTTATGACTTACATGCTATGCACTTGCACATCACGTAATGATGAAATCTGGGGAGCTCTCAAATTCACGTTTGTTACCCTCTATTGTCTCTTGCCAGATAGATATATATAACCTGGTGAGGTTTCCACTGATAAAGAAATCAATCAATCAGTCAATCAATCAATCACCCCATTCCTCTTGAATCAATCTAAGTCATTCTTTGGTAAAACTTTTCAGGCTTGGGGACCTAAAATCAGCTGGTCCTCTAAGCAACACGCTTTCTGCCCTGTAAGTTAATGCAATTCTGTTTTTGTCCATCACTGTTAACCTTTAGAATACCGAGTTTTTTGCTAATTGAGTTGTGGACTGAAATCAATAATGTGTAGAGGGCAGGGTAGTATTTCACCTCAGTATCAGTCCTCCCCTGTTTCAATCATACCTCTCTCTCTCGGCATAGTTTTCCAAAGCTTCAGCGGCCTTCAGATTCCACCAGCACCAAAATGTGGTGCTTCAGCCATGGCCACCAGCTCACGATGATGCTTGTCCTCTACAGTGTTACTCAGAACAGGAGAACTCTTTGGGCTTGCTCTGTTTTAGTGAGGTTTAAGGTCTGGTTGCAACTGGACTTCTTTCTTTTTGTAAAACACAATGCTATGTTATTTTGCTAAACATGTAATCTGCTTAATTACAACTACTGTGACAAGCCCTGAATTCTAACAAGAATAATTCCTACAGAATACCCCACAGTGATAATGGGAAACATACTGCTATTAGTGACTTATTTTTTTCCTGCCAACTGTGTGCCAAATGAAGTTCTAAAATGGACCAAAAAAGTCTTGACAGCTACAAAAGGAAAATAAATTGTTGTTCCTAAAAACTTAACAGTCCATTACAACAGATTTTTAAGCAACGTTTAAGATACAGCTGAAATCAAGAAAAAATGTAATTGTTATACTGTGATTTCTCATCTGTACACTGACCGTGGCAGTTAAGATGTGAGGCAGTATTATTACTGGTTTACTCACTGCTAATACTTACAGTATTACTCACTGTTTGTTTGTGTATAAAATGTTTCATCCTGATTAAAAAAGAAAATCAAATGTAATGTATTTCTATTTTAAATTCACTAATGTATTTGGTTTCTCCTAATTTTGCTGTGTTCTAACTGGGATCAAATTACCTTACATTACATTAATAAAAACAAAGGAAAAAAAAAAAGAAAAAGTCTTAACTGGTCCTCAGTTCCTGGCTGCCTGCCTGTGAAGGTTTTGTTTGTCAATACGCTTGCTTCAGGGTTTGTGTATATCTGAACTGCTTCGTTTAGCACACTGGGAGGACAGCAGCGATGCCTTACAGGATGGCAGGCACTCTCAACCGCAGCCCATGGTGCAGACTTACGTTGCTTGTCCCAGAATCGAGTAACCCCAAGTAAGGTATGGAGTTTTCTGTAATGCCCGCCTAGGACTGCTGAGCTATGTCAGCTGATGACAAACTCTTAGCCCCAGGGGAACTTCACAAGATGACCCTGTTCAACAAATAGTATTGAGATGATGACTAATTTAAGTCTGTTTCTGGCATACAGATTCCCACAGGGCATTCACATATGCAATTTTGTGTCAGCTTTTCCAGTGGCACTTTCTGCAGGACATGTTTACATCCAGCTGCTACTAGGAACAAAGTTTCCACCTCTCTAGTGGCATCACTTGGCATTTTTGGATAAGGACAGCACTGGTGGTGTCACAAGTTCCTTGCTTTGTCATTCCAGGTGTGGTATCTTCTTCTACTTACCCTCCACTCCCGCCTACGCCACCAATAACAATGAATGCATCAATGGGAGGGTGAGGTGTCTTCCAAGCCCAGAAGCTCCTTTACAAGTCTTTCACCAAACTGTGCGCGGCTATACCTTGTCACATGGTAGGCCTCTGACATTTTGTAGAGGATGTAGGCATTGTTTATAGCGATGCTGATGGCAAACCAGAATACTTGTTGCCAGGTCTTGTTTGGTTTGTGAGAAATGAAATACCTAAAAAGCCAAGAGGGAAGGGGAGGAAAAAGCACTGTTCAGTCAAACACTTGCGGCTGGGATGCAAGAAATAACCAGACAAAGATTCTGCAGTCCCAAAGGAGTCCCTGCAGGCCCAGGACTTAATACCTAGTGCAAGTATCATCTCAAGACATTTTCTACAACGCATTTGACAGTCATTTACAGTTAAGTTGCACAATTTTGGAAATTTCTAGTAGTGTCTAAAAGAACAGACTTCCTTGCTCTCAGAAGCAAAACCTCAGCATCACTCTCCCCTCTGTATCACTCCACGTAAGAAGAGTACGAATACAGACTCCTCGAGCTTATCCATGACAAACATCCACGTGATGGGAGCTGTGGGTCTGAATCCTTTCAATTTGTAACTAAAAAAAAGCCTCAGGCATACTACATTACAGTTTGGGGAAGATGATTGCTGATGCTTCTCCTCTTGTTTATCTCTATTGCGAGCAAAGAATGATTTCTGCTGCTGTCAACAGTGGGTGGGAGGATGTGGGAGTAGAGCCAGAGCGTGCAGTGCTGGTATGTGGAGCACCTCTCCGTAAGGCAGAACTAGAAAGGACTGACATCGTTATATTTAGGTTCTGAGTAACCCTAGGACTGCCAGAATAGTCACTCTTCGGTCTTAGGCACTGTTTAATATCTTTGTCTGTGACACGGACAGTGGGATTGAGGGCACCCTCAGCAAGTCTGCCGGTGACACCAAGCTGTGTGGTGCAGTCGATGCGCTGCAGGGAAGGGATGCCATCCAGAGGGACCTTGTCAGGCTGGAGAGGTGAGCCTGTGCAAACCTCGTGAACTTTAACAAGGCCAAGTGCAAGGCCCTGCACATGGGTCAGGGCAATCCCAAGCACAAATACAGGATAGGCAGAGAATGGATTGAGAGCAGCCCTGAGGAGAAGGACTTGGGGGTGTTGGTTGATGAGAAGCTCAAACATGAGCCAGCAATGTGTGCTTGCAGCCCAGAAAGCCAACCTTATCCTGGGCTGCATCAAAAGTGTGACCAGCAGGTCGAGGGAGGTGATTCTGCCCCTCTACTCTGCTCTCATGAGACCCCACCTGGAGTAGTGTGTTCAGCTCTGGGGCCCCCAACATAAGAAGGACGTGGACCTCTTGGAGCGAGTCCAGAGGAGGGCCACAGAAATGATTAGAGGGATGGAGCACCTCTCCTATGGAGAAAGGCTGAGAGAATGGGGGTTGTTCAGGCTGGAGAAGAGAAGGCTCCAGGGAGACCTTATAGCAGCCTTCCAGTACCTGAAGGGGGCCTACAAGAAAGCTGGAGAGGGATTTTTTACAAGGGCCTGTAGTGATGAGGTAATGGTTTTAAACTGAAAGAGGGTAGATTTAGATTAGATATAAGGAAGAAATTCTTCACTATGAGGGTGGTGAGGCACTAGAACAGGTTGCCCAAAGAAGCTGTGGAAGCCCCATCCCTGGAAGTGTTCAAAACCAGGTTGGATGCCCATGGCAGAGGGGCTGGAACCAGATGATCTTGAAGGTCCCTTCCAACCGATGCCATCCTATGATTCTATAAGATTTCCCACTTTCCTACTTCCATTTTTTTAGTAACTGTTTAAATCTACTACCTCACCTCTTTTTCATATTGATTTCCTCAGATCAGATCCCAATATCAGTCTCCAGCAACCACCTCCTCCTCTTTCATCTCTTCTACTGAATTCTTGTTGCCTTGCCTAAAACTGTCTTGGAAAATCCTTGTTGCTTTTTCTCTCCCCTCAATTTTTAGTTCTTGAAATCTTCTGCACCTCATTGCTATTCCCACAGCCAAGTTTCACCACTGCTATTCTTACTCATTTCTGTTTCTCCCTGCTACATTAAGAGCTAACACTGAGGACCCCAATGGGAATTCAGGAGCCAAAAGATCTCCCAGATCATCTAGGTCAGCTTTACATCCACAACTGAATGTCCTTTTCTTCTGGCTCCAGGTGACACAAATATCACTGGGGCAGACAGTCACCTAAACACCATCTGCTGCTAGGGGTGGAAAGCTGAGCTAGCCTGAGAGACTTGTGGGGCCCTTGTTGAATTCCCTATTTAGCCCGCAATTTGTTGTCGCCAAGAACATCAGCCTGCTGGCTCATCTTCCCAACACTTCTTAAAAATCATTTACAAGATGCTAAGAACATGTCTCTCTTTTTTTTTGACTGGTAGGTGGGTATATAGAGCCAAAAACAATACTAGCAATGCAGCTCTTGCCCTTGTGCAGAGCCAGCTTCTGATCTTTGACTGAAACAGGAGTTTGTCAGAGATTAACTCCGTGAAAGCAGGATCGGGCCCTCAGCTGCAGCTCAACATGGAGAACTCAAACATTGCAGCAACAGAGAAGGAGTGAAAGAAATACACACACACACTCATGCACGCACATATTCTTACTTACTTGCTGTATTTGTCATCATATTTGCAGATATAGCTAAGGTGAGCAGCAAATGCTTCAACCGCCAATGGGCATGGAATCTCTCCGCTTTTTCTCTTAATTATAACTCCTGCATCAATTAGAAACATAACAGTTTTAAATCCATGTGATAGGTCTAGCAATTAAAAGATACGGTTTCTATATACTGTTTATTATAAAATAAACCTTATTGACAGTTTCTGCCCTAAAACTGGGAAGTTATCTGCAACAGAGACGCTAATTTATTTTTTTTTTTCCATTGGTAGTGCATTGAGCGAGTGGAAGGGAAAGAATGGGGATCATTTTTCAGTTGGAAATGAAAAGATGTTAGACACAAACACTTTTACCATATGTTCAGAAAAAACCCACACATTGCCAGCATCCCACAGTACCCCCCTACAGACAGTGTATTATTAGTCTCTCTTCTGTTGGTTCACAATGAGTTGCGGTCACCTCTAGAGCTGTGACTTGATATTTTATGCTTTGAGTTCTGAAGGTCCCAAATGAGTCCTTTGAAATTAAAGCCTTTGGTTATCTCCACCCATGGGGGCCAAGAGCAACAGTACCTCCTCTCCACTGGGTGCTAATTGACCAAGAAAAGAAAATACAGTAAGAAGGAGCCAACTGGCTAAGCCCAGTCAAGACAGATGTGATGCTGGTGGGTGAGTTGAAGGACCCACAACCACAGTATCTTTGAAATGAGAAGCAGCCTGATTCACTGCTGTGGGGAGCCAGAGCTCAGATGTACGCTTAGGTCGCTCAGTGGAGCTAAGCACGCATTGCCTGTGAGTGATGTTCCCTGCCCTGCCTGGTCAGCTGGCTAGACAGTTCAGCTCATCATCGGGGATGATTATCCTGCCTACTGCAGAAATCTGTGGTAAGGCAACAAGTCCTCTGCAGCTACCTACTAACCACTCTCATAGACAAAGATGTGGTGCCTAGAGCAGATTACACCAAGAATGGGCCCCGTTGCCTCACATGGTGCATCTTTCACCTGGCCTTCTCCAACACTACAGCAGTATTTGAGTCCAATGCTCTCCCAAGAAACTCCCCTAGCTCTTCTCTGATTTATTCATCCTCTCCTCTGCATTTCCTCATCTGGGGGAAGCTGCTTGTAGGAGGGAAGGGTAAGTAAAACAAACTTGTAGTCCTTTATTAAGGAGTCCGTTGCCTAACTTTTGACTTTATGTCCCCACAGGGTTTGATGGTCAGCTCTCCAGGGTATGGACCATCTCTTGCTCCATGTCTATGGCACACCGTCTAGTGAAGATCCCTGCGCTTCCCCAGGCACAACACTGGTTTTCTCCAGGTCTAGAGAAGCACAGGCTCGGTTGCATCCTTGCTCAGCATTGTTTCAGTACAGGTACAACCCTGGGCTTTCTCATTTCTCAAGCCTTCAAACTCTCATTGCCTGCCTTCTGCCAACTGTTTTACAATCATCCCTAAAATGCTCCTCACGTTTTGATTACAGACTTCACCACTTCATTCCTTCAGCTGGAAGTCTCATTCCATCCATTATCTCTGTCAAGCCCCCTGTGCTGTCCTAGCTGGCAGGCTCTATTTTGAAGCAAGACTTAGGACACAGACTAAATGTCATGTTACAGCTGAGCCATCCAGCAATTTATTTGGGGCCTTTAAAGTCTGATTTTTCAAGAGTCCAAAATGATATCACTTCTAAATTGTTCAATACACTCGCACCTCTGCCTCCCCAAGCTGGGTGTAAATGTAGCCCAAGGGGAAGGGAAAAACACAATCAAATAAATAAATCCTTCATTACCTTCACATACTTATTATAGTGCTTTTTTGATCCTTTTAATGAGTCTTACAAAAATGTGGCGAGTGCGAGGTAAAAAGGGCTGATATACCAACAGCCTGCTGCATCAATGCTGTGAAATCACTTGCCATCCCACCTGGGCAGGTCAGGAAAGGGTAAGTATGTTCCTGGTGCCAGTGTTTTACAAAAAATCCCCTTCTTTCTCTTCTTGCTCTCCTCTCTGCTCTTTCTTCCCCCTCTCCTCCTTTGGAGGATTTTTATTTCCTTTTCAATTTGCTTCGTATTCACAGTCCTTAAAAAAATACATTGTGGTGGCAGCTACGTGGGTACCATACACTCCCTCTCACTTTCTATTACATTCCACGTAACATTCCTCTGTTTTGAGAATATAAATAGCTTTATACGCACACTATTTTTATAGCCTTTCCTAGGCTTGTTTCATAGCCATAGGCCACCTCTCCAGGGAAGACAAGTGTTGGAGCGGGGTGGTGCCGAGCTGCAGGTCTCTGTGGCAAGCAGTCCCAAGCCAGCTGACTCACCGGCACATCGGATGAGCTATTTCCCCTCCTGGTCCTCCCACAGCATCCCTGTGTTCCCATCCCTGGCAGCACTCCAGGGAACACACCGCCTGTGCTGCAGCCGCGGCCTGCCTTTGCCAGCATGCTGGAAGGGCTGCTGGCCACGACGCTGCCACCGCGGACAGGCATCACCTTCTGGGTTTGGGGTTTTTTTTTAAACCTTTTTTTTTTGTTTTAAGTTTTTAAGCTGTATGCTCATCAAGCAAAGCTCGGGAAGTACCACCCCAAATGAAACAAGCAGAAAGACAAAGGTGTACATATGTTTGCTTCCTCAAACACTTATTCTAAGCCAATCTGTGACTTTAGGAGCTAGAATCATGGTTTTTTTAAAAATGGAGGCTCAGTAGTACTAGCACTTGCATCTACCTTGGCAAGCATTGAGATTTCATAACATAATATAACTGCATGTTCCAAGTGCTATATGGCTTTTTATCAAGACTTAGATTTGCTACAGTTCTTTATCAGAATTGCAGACAGTCAGCATTGTACAAGGTCTAACGTTCAAGGTCTTCCCACCAGAGCCTTCCGGCCCCATCCCCACTCTCACCATACTTGGACAAACCCCCCTGAGTGTAGTCTCACAAAGGACACGTGGAAATTTAAAGTTAAAATGCTAAGCTTCCCCGTCCTGAAACATACTTTTTAACATTATGCTTCTTTCCCCAGACTTTCCAGTTCTGGGCCAATCTCACAAGCTGATTTTTTCAGGAAACTAGTCTGTCACCAGGCACTTCTCACTCCAGCTCCTCCTGGGCCAAGAACCACACAGGGATTTATACAACTGCTTCATACAATTGCGATGCCTCCACAACATCTCGCATCTTCTCACAAGTCGCTTGTGAGATGCCAACACACCATTTGCAGCTCTTTAGTCCTTGCATATGTGGCCCAAGCTTTGTTTTCTATCTTTAGCTATTGTCCATTTAGCTTTTAAGTAGAGCTGGTTGGTGAAGAGCAGCTGTGAAAGCTCTTCTCAGAAAGAAGCTACTTCTTAAAAAGATCTTGGTTTCAAGAAGTTTTTGCTAAAGATGTCATTCTGGTCAGCATGCTGTGCAGCAAGTGAGGTTGCTGCCTGCTCCATCATGCTTCACATGAAAAATAGACAAGATTGTAGTTATTTCTGGAACATAGTAATGGAGACGCTGGGAAAGTGGGCACCAGATCTAGAGTGGAAAAACAAAAATGCAGCCTTGTCCCACAGATGGAGAGATTTGGGCCAGCACATACATCACCTGCTTTAGAACAAGGGTAACTTTTTACTCTCTGGGGGTGCCAATCTCTTTTGGCTTCTCAGTTCTTCTGCACAGGTACAAGGAAAAATTAAACTCAAGTTAAAGCTTAAGGGAAATTAAAAACCCAACTGAATTTTGTTCTAGGCAGAAACTTCATACTTGATAGCAGAGTAAGCAGGACATTTTTGCAAGACTAAAGGAATAAGACTCATCCTTTAGCATTTGAGATGATGTATTATGACACATTGGTTCAAAACATTCATAATAAATAACCTGCTGCATCTAAGAATAGTATTCATAGATCAGCTCTGACAAGTGTACTGCCTTTCTGGTGCCTCTGGCTTGGGTGGGATTTGCACTCCAAGTACAGGAAAGATTTACCTTCTTGGCTTTCCTTTAAATTGCAATAAATAGCTCATTACTAGCTACGTCCACCTCTTTTCTCATCCTAAATTTTGTTTTGACCATCTCTTGCCTCCTGTTTTCAAGGTTTTCTCTTCACGGCCTCCTCCATCCCCGTCAACATTTACGCTCAACCAAGTGCAAACACGTACCATGCATCGTCAGGCGATCCCACTGGCGCCAGTCTCTGTCCAACTACCTCGCGTGAGTTTTATTCCCCTGTGTCCCTACCTCCTCTCCCATCTAACACACATGCATAGCAGGTCTGTGCTACAGGCTTGCCTCAAGGAGCATAGATTCCTCCGCTTCCTCCTCTATATTTACATGACTTAGAAGAGACTTTGGTGCTCCAGCTTCAAGTTGCTTTAAACTAGCATTGCTGCACTGACTTCAGAGATGCCAAGTTTGAGGCAGGCAATCTGGTCTCCTCTCTTCCTACTGAGTCTCCATCTGTTCCCAGCTCTCCGCTACACACTCTCTTCCCCTCAGCACCACTCTTTAAAAAGCCAGTCTCTGTTTTCTGCTCTGATTCACCGTGAACTATGTCAGCTGTCCCAGCCAGCATTTGGTGGGCAATGTGTTGGGCAGGTCTTGCCCACCACACACACAGGTCCTAATCAGTGGATGTTAAACTACCCCACACGTGCAACCTACAATCCCATCTATGCCAAAACAGACCCAAGGTCAATCACAAGCACAACAGCTCACACCTCCATGTGCTGCTTGTAAAGGATGCTAACAGTGCAGAGTCTGCTTTTGCCTCCTCTTTTAATGGGGCAGTTAACACTGACGTTTACAGAGTATTTTTGTAGTAATATTTATCAATTATAACCAAAGGCTCTGTGCTAGCCTACAAAAAACAGGTGAGATGTAGTGATAACTCTTTGTCCAGTTAGTGCAGCTGAATAATCTGAATCCAGCAAAGTGCACAAGGGAGACGACAGCACAAATCCTGATGGTGAATGCCCCTCATGGGGAGCAATACTGCTTCAGGGACTGGCTTCAGCAGGGTCCCCAAAGTGTCATATTTCCTTCATGTACATATTTTCAGCACTTATGCTCAGACACCGGTCCATCCGAGTCACCAAGTCCTCGCTCTGCTCTGGTGCCTGGCAGAATCCCTTGGAATCAGCCATGCTTTGCTAAGGTAATGAGCCTTCTGACAAGGCATTGAACAACACACTAAGTCAACTTCTCAGCCTACCATACAGGAATTCAAGGCCTTAACTTTCCTTCTGTAGCCTCTACACACATGTGAGAGTCACTCTGGATTCAGAACATGAGTGTACAAGATGCCTTTGAATTGGTGGCTTTACATTTAAAGGTTTAGGTTAATCTTATTTGTCTCAGGCAGTTATACATAAATCTGAGTGATAAAAATGAAAAGAAACTGAAGCAACGTTTTCACTGAAAGACAAATTTCAAAGAGTTAGCTAATCATATTGCCTCTTACAGAAGTTGCCAAACCTTCTGAACACCATCTGTATACTTTCAAAAAGGAAAAGATTTCAGTATCAAGAAGCTCTTTGCAATTATTTGAACTATCCAAGTCATCTGTTTTGGTTTCTTTTCATCAACTGCTAAAATCAATTTAACATACAACAGGAAGCCTTAATCATATTTACTTCTGGCAAAAAGATGTTTGTTTGTGACTAAGTTTTTACTGGATAAGATAAATTAATTCTAGGATCTGCTCAGAGTTCTAAGTACATCATGGCGTTTATTTATTTCTCTGTAGCAGCAATCCTACGCGATGCTTTGCAAATGGGGCTAGTGTAGTGTTATACAACAACCGTCCTCCCTTCTCTGACCATCAGCGAAGATATGATCTTTATACCTAAAAGGATACTGCCTCCACCAGCTCAGGCAAAGGAGGCTGCATTAGCAGTAGGCTTTTAATCATTGTATGGGAGAAAAGAATGTGTAGGAAGACACAAAAGGGAAGTCATCGCTACTGCTACTGTTTATCTAGGATTATTACGATCAAGATCTTTGTTCAGGCTTATTATCAAACTCAGTGACTCATTTTGCCTTGTCACATAAAGCATGTGGACTTTCCAGATGAGCAGTAGGAATATCGCTTACCTTGTTGAACCGGTGAATAGGCGTTGGTCAGAAAACGAAAGTGCCCTTTATTGTACCAGCAGATCAAGGACATGTTTCCTTTCATTCTTATTCTGTACTGCCCTCTGGACTGGGGAGTTTCAGGGTTGTTCAGCATGGATGGAGGTAGGCCTGTGCAGTCACTCTTCCTGGCACTCAGCAACCCACAGCAGTAAATCTCTGCATGTGAACAAAAACATTCCCTATCAGCAAGCCATTGTATGGACCCAGAAAGCAAGAGCAGTAGATCAAGTCTGAATGACCTGACTAGAGAAAGAGCTTGTCCTACAAATTTCTAGTCCAACAGATATGTTAGCCAACTGGCCTTCTGCTGTAATACCAAAGATTTGTGTCCTACATGAATGTCTCTGGAAACTGAGACAAATGCAGAAAACCTGCTCTTTTGATGAAATATATTGACACCTCCTGCACAGTCATGATGAAATGACAAGGGGAAGTATTCAGGGTATCTATCTTCCCAACAATAACATCTATAATCTGTGTAATAGTCTTTGCAAGGTGCTTAAAATTGGACTGAAAAAACCCCAAAAGTGGTGATATGCATTATAGAAAAAAATCAGAATTTATGATCCAAGAGTCTGTCCTGGTTTCGGCTGGGATAGAGTTAATTTTCTTCCTAGTAGCTGGTATAGTGCTGTGTTTTGGATTTAGTATGGGAATAATGTTGCTAACACACTGATGTTTTAGTTGTTGCTAAGTAGTGCTCACACTACGTTAAGGACTTTTCAGCTTCTTGTGGTCTACCGATTGAGAAGGCTGGAGATACACAAGAAGCTGGAAGTGGGCACAGCCAGGACAGCTGACCCAGACTGGCCAAAAGGTTATTCCATACCGTACGATGTCATGCTCAGTATATAAACTGGGGGACAGCAGGCCGGGGGGGCTGCTGCTTGGGGATAGGCTGGGTATCGGGCGGTTGGTGGTGAGCAATTGTTTTTCATTTGCATCATTTGTCTTTCTTGGGTTTTCTTTCTCTCTCTGTTTTGTTATTTTCCTTTTCATTACATTTTTTAAAATTATTATTATGTTATTGTTTTATTTCGATTATTGAACTGTTCTTATCTCAACCTACAAGTGTCCTCGCTTTTAATCTTCTGATTCTCTCCCCCATCCTGCTGGGGGGCCGGGGGGTGCGGAATACAGCATCTTAGATGTTAACTGAAATAAATTCTCCTACATGACTCCAATGATGCTTTTAATCACAATATACATAGCTGACAAACTCTGGTTTAATCTACTGCTTCACTGTGCTGCCCAGTTCTTGATTTTCAGCTCACTACTCCCTGCACCTGCATCAGCTGTTTTTTTTAAGGAAATGCTGCTTAAGCAATTAAGAACCGCTGAAACCACTGGTTGATTTTAAAAATGCATGTGCCAAAAGGATGGAGAAAATGGAAATACAAGTTCAGAGAAAATACACTTTAAAAAAAAAAAGGGAAAGAAGATAAACCAAACAGTGCCGTAGTTGAGCGAGCACTGATCTTGTCCTGCACAGACATCAGAGGCTTCACAGGTGACATATTCTGGTGCTCACAGCTTCTTGGCCTTTCGTATGTCAAAGAGGCAACGAATAAGATCTAACACCACAAAACACATCTCAGTGCACCCAGGTGGGCACAAACAAGATTTGGAAACAACATTAATAATGACAATGCTTGAATTTTCATGAGGCTCTGAAATAATAACGGCCTGTTTCTGTTAGTCCAAGAGAAGCAGATCTTCTTGATGAAATTAACTTGGGAAAATTGAAATTAACTCAAGGAAATCTTGGATTGAAATTTCCTCAGTCTCCCTTGGTTTTGTGTTAACCCACCTGAGTGCAAAAAAAAACGATGGGCATGGAAGCAGGTGACATCTGTGCACATCTTTCATATGGCAGCTGAGGCTTGTGGTAGTTTAAAGCTCATCTGTCAGCTAAGTCTGCTTGACCAAATTTTTCATCGTTCTGAATTCTGCACGCTGGATAACTGGATATCCTTACAGGGGAAATACTAAGTCAGGCTACAGTGTCTGGCTTCCCCTGAGCATGTTACCTCTGTTCTTGGGTTTCGATTTATGTGGCTCTTCTGCCCCGTCTTTCTGGCATGACCTAAGCTCTGAGTGCAGGTGCAGCCTTCGTCCTTGATTCATATAGCACCTGGCATGCTGAGCATGCCCTCAACAGCTCACAGATACTACAGGAATATTAATTTAATAATTGCTAATACTCATGAATTGGTCCAGTTGCTGTGGGCAGTTCTACAAGGAGCTAAGGCTCTTCCATCAGAAATTTAAGACACTCCTATCAGAAGAAGGTCAACCAACACAGCAATGGGGCAACTTCATTCTGAAAGAGGAAATGTGCACTGCCTCGGTTATTTCTAATGAATGAATCAGTCCCTGGAAATCTGTAAGTTCTTTCCACAAAAGACAATGAGAAAAGCCTGATGGCAACAGGCTTACAATCAATATAGGAGGAACTGCACCTCCAGTGGAAAGCTTTTTTTTTTTTTTTTTAATTTCTTGTCTTGCTAAGAGGTACACAAACAGTGTAGGTCATGTACCTGCAAACTTTGGCATTAACATAGAAAACTTTTAGAAAGCTTTCTTCTAACCAACATTAAGATCTTCCTGCTCTGATAACAAGCAAGCCTGAGAAGAGTTTTCCTAGCTGCCTGAAGTTTATGACTCACTGAAGGGTGATACTTACTCTCTCCAGGAGACTGCAATGGTATAAGACCAAACTAATAACTACATTATTGTGCTACAGCTTCAAAATAGCAACAGCCATCTCTGAGATCCCATAATAATTAATTGTAGTCTTTCCTTCAGCTCAGGCAATAAGCCTGCAGAAAGCTTCCAGCAGATGTTTCACTCCTCATAGAGAATAATGGGAACCATTTCCGCTCTCAGGAACACACCGTGTAACCTTCCTGCTGTACAGCCTAGAAAAGTGCAACACTTCTGCAGATTTACTAGCGTCTCATCATGGATGACACCCTTAATCTGTAGAGTTTTTTAAAACCACCCAGTTACTATAGCAACAGAAGCAATAATGATTATGCCCATCTGGCTCAATGAAGTTTTTGTGTGTAATGAAATCAGAATCACAACAGGTGGTTGCCATGTACACAGGAGTCAATGGTGACAGGTTGGCCTCCTCTGGTCTTCTTAAACTGCAACTGCAGTATAAATGCATACACCTAAACTGGCTTAGCAAAGATGAGGAAATGTGGTGTAGTCACCCAAGATTCATTCCCAGGGTCTCCATGCCCCAGAGAGCTTGTGCTGAAGCCTGTTTCACCACATCTTCATTAGTACCATTTGCAAAGGCAGCCAGGCTCAAGCTAGTTCAGGCAAAAATACACATTCTGCAGTCATTTACCCTGCATGCAACGCTGGGTCAAGTCAGAGCTAGGGCAACTGAGGAGCCTGCTGTGGAGGAGATGAGAGCTTGCTTTAGTCTATGTGCTGGAGTTGCAGGATCCTGCAAAGCTTGTGGGAGTGCCATGGTGACCCAGGCTGGCAGCTCCTGCAGCTCTGCCAACCCCAGCCACTCTGTGGGACAGAGCCAGCTGCTCCTGCTTGTTCAGAAAGTGCAAAAAGGAGTTTGGGGGATCATATGTTTAAGGGAAGCATGGGAGACAGGGCTTTAGGAGGTGCTGTCCTCTGTAAGGGACAACACTAATGCTTAGAGGGGGGGGAAAAGGGATGGGCACTATGAATGAATGTCACAGCAAATAACAATGACAGCTGTGTGCTCACAAAGCAGAGAATTTGGGGCATTTCAGTGCAGGTTTCCAGTTCTATTCAGAGGCCAGAGAAAGAAATGCTTTGTATGTCCCCTGAAAAATAAAAAAGAAGTCTATTCAGGTTTTTGATTTTGAAAAAGATCAAAGTGCCCTGTCTTATTTTCTGAAGTCTTCTCAGCTCTTGGTATCTTCAAAGATACTTAGAATTATATTCACCGATATCCCTTTATATTACTAGGCACACATTCTCTACTGTGGTACAGTGAAGGTGCTACACAGCAGGTTTTCAGTAAAGAACATTGCGGTTTTTGCAGTAATGCATGTGCGGGTTAGGGTTAGGAAAAGCAAACGATAGTTAAGGTTCCACAAAAGTCTTCATAGGATCACAGGATCCTATGGATTAAAGGAGAATTCAGGTTGGAAGGGAACTCGGGAGGTCTCTAGTCCCATCCCCTGCTCAAAGTAGGGTCAGCTGTGAGGCCAGACAGTGCTGCTCAGGGGTTTACCTTGTCTGGGCTTGAAAACCTCCAAGGACAGAGACTGCACAACCTGTCTGGGCATCTTGCTCCACTGTCCTCAGGAAAACCCTTACACCTAGTCTGAACTTCTTTTGTTTCAGTTTATGATGTCTGTTGTTTTTTGTCCTTCCACAACGCACCACTGGGAAAAGCCAGCTCCATTCTCTTGACGGCCTCCTCAGGGTAGCGTAAGGCTGCTGTTGGGTCCCCTCCGAAGCCTTCTCTTCTCAGGCTGAACAAGCACAGCTCCCTCCCCATAGCGGAGCATGTGGTTCAGCCCCTGGTCAGGTTGGTGGCCGCCTGCTGAAATACTCCAGTTTATCAATGCCTTTCCTGTATTGGGGTGGGTGTTGCCCAAAACTGTGAGTAGAAGGCAATAATCATCTCCCTTGATCTACAGGGATGAGGCTACACTCATGTTAACACAGCCCAAGATAGTGCTGACCATCTTGCCATGCCAAAGCATGCTGCTGACTCATGTTCAACTTGCTGGCTACCAAGACCCCCAATCCTTTTAATCAAGAATTTTGAGAGGAACTAATAAATTTTTAGTGGGTGTCTCTTTCTAGATTTTCCAAAATAGCTTTAGTTCCCTTAAATGTCACTTTAGATTCCAAAAAAATTTATAGTTTCTAAGAATCATAGAATTGTTTAGGTCAGAAAAGACCTTTAAGATCACCAAGTCCAACCGTTAACCTAGCACTGCCAAGTCCACCACTAAACCATGTCCCTAAGCACCGCATCTACACATCTTTTAAATCCCTCCAGGGATGGTGACTCAACCATTTCCCTGGGCAGCCTGTCCCAGTGCCTGACTACCCTTTCAGTGAAGAAATTTTTCCTCATATCCAATCTAAACCTCCCCTGGTGCAACTTGAGGCCATTTCTTCCTGTCTTATCGCTTGTTACTAGGGAGAAGAGACCGACCCCCACCTCGCTACAGCCTCCTTTCAGGTAGTTGTAGAGAGCGATAAGGTCTCCCCTCAGCCTCCTCTTCTCCAGGCTAAACAACCCCAGCTCCCTCAGCCGCTCCTCCTAAGACTTGTTCTCTAGATGCTTCACCAGCTTCGTTGCCCTTCTTTGGACACACTCCAGCACCTCGATGTCCTTCTTGTAGTGAGGGGCCCAAAACTGAATGCAGTATTCAAGGCCTCACCAGTGCTGAGTACAAGGGGATGATCACTTCCCTAGTCCTGCTAGGACTAGCTTATTAGGATTAGCTTATTTAAATCTCCCCCTATTTCTCTGTTGATAGTCACAAAAAACCCCTGAACAACATAAAGCAGTTAAGATCAATACCAATTTCTTTTTGTTTTCGGTTCTCAATGGAATCTTTCTACTGCTGATCCTGCTCTAGCCCAGAAACTAAATTTTCTTCAAGAAGAAAAGTAAATCCATCAGTTTAAGAATGGGTCTTGAACCGTCATGAGCACCCGAGCACGATACTCTTCAACAGGCTCTCATGACACTTCTTGGTAATGGTGTAGCCCTGTTCAGATTTAGTTGGCTAAGCCACATACCAAAAAAGCATTAAGGTCATTGTTGAGGGTGACTGTGTGATACATTAGGAGAGATCTCTCTTCTAAGTTCAGGCGTCTCTGCCTGCCTCTCCCTAAACATACTGCCAATGCAGTAGGATCCCAGCAGGTGCTGGCAATACATTAGCTGCTCTGCAGTAGAGTCAGTAAACACCATCTCCTCCAGGGCTCTTACTGACTTCTCCACTGCTTGACATCTCTAGCATCTCACTTGTCCCAGTGTCTCATAGTCCTTCCAGTTCAACATCCCCCTGCAAAACCTCTGAGCTAGCCCCTAGTAACTCATGGCAAACACAGACAATCCCATGTCCTTATTAAACAGAAACACTTCCATATTCTCCCTGTGATATTTTTTATAAAGGAGTGCCCCGCTATTTTGCAAAGCCAATAAACCTGCTGTCTTAGTGTCCACCCCCCACCCATCCCATACCTTCACCCCTAGGAAGGTGATAGCATGTACCAGATCTGAAATTTAATTTTGGAAGCAGCTGTCAAATATCATAAAAAGACACATAAAGCTGTATAATAAATCATGAACCAAACTGAAATCTCAGTATAGCATTAGCATATTTGATCAGATAGTAAGTCAAAATTACATTACTGAATTTGCTACATGCTAGAAACTGTTAATTTGAATGATCTGTTCAGTGTAAAGACCACAAATAATTCACACCCCTGTGAGTAATTTGAATTATCTGTAAGTAATAAACACTCAGCTGGTTTAGTAGCCATGCATCTTTTTCACCAGGCTGATGGACCAACTGGGTCATGCCATATTGTCTTTATCCTTCCCTAGCTGAGCATAAAGCTCAGCAGTCAAGTTTTCATCTGTCAGTCTACATTTAAACCTCACGCATCTCAGGTACTAGAAGTATGTGGGTTATTCTCTATATTTTTTTGAAACCACATTTTGCGTCTTTGCTTTGGTAGTCTTAAAAATGTAATGCTTATAATCAGCTGTGAAAAGAGTCATTTACTAAAGAACAGTCTCTGCTCAGAGGAAAAACTCCAGTGCACTATAAATATGCTTGACTTCTTTCCCATTTGGCTGTTTGCAGCATTTGGGAAACCATGACTCTTTTGTGAGAATACGGCAGTATTCCACTGCATTCTGTGAGCTTCCAGCTTACCTAAAATAATGCAGGAGCTAGGTCCTGCATGGAGCTCAACAGAGACAGCCCTCAGTGCCAGCGCAGTTTGACGTGCTCAACTACAGCACTGGTGCAGCTCACTGGTGTTCTCATTTTAAATGAGAATCAAGATACTGTCTCAATTTCCAGCCTTTCCCCCTACTTTGGGCCACATTTCATTAATATAATGCCCCAGGTGGGTTTAATTTTCTGCAATGAAAAACATGCCAAAAGCAGAACTCTGTCATCAGTGGTGTGTTGAAAAGGGAAATGGCCCTGTAGCCTCCTCCTACATGATTCATAATGGCAGCCTCCAGTGTTACTGCTACGAAGGATCTATTGTACATACCATACCAACTCTGAAATGCCATGCTGACTGAAGAACAAGCCGAGAGGTACATTGAGATGACTTATAAATGACTGTCAAGTGTGCAGAACCTGTAATTTAAGGGGAGTCACAAGTCCTCAGCATTTCTGAAAGCCAAGTAGCATGTGGCTTTTCCACACCCAAGGTGAGAGGGCATTTGACAGAGAGGATGTCCTGGGATTACTCTCTACACTAGCAAGAAACTGGCTGGGAGAGCCATACTGCTGTATCGATGGTCATTCTGCTGGCAAGTGTGCTTTTGACAGTGCAGAGTTTATTATGCTTTCAGAACTAAAAACTGTCCTACCGAGGCATGTTTATACCAGCAAAAAAGAAAATCATGCTAGGGCTTTTGCAATGGCAAAAAATGTCATCTAGAGAAGTCACATCTTTAACAGATATTAAACCAGCAAGGACTTCTAAGGCACACCTTTAAGGATTCATCCCACCCCTAGTCTTTCTCAATGGGAATCGAAAAATCACAGGCAGCTAGGTAATCCCTTGAAAAGTCCCCCAGGCCATATAGATTAGACCTCAGATTTCTAAGGCAAAGAACAAAAGCAAGGACTTTAAATACCCTTATTAAAAATGTTTTTACATCCTCATTTTGAACTTTAAGAAGATTTAAAGAGGAAGATTTAAAGAGCAACTTAGAAAGTCCTCTGCATAGTACCTTTTCATGAATGAGATCTTTCCTTAGAGATGACCAATTTATCTATACCAGGAACTGAAATCTCAGTGAAGCCTTTTGGGAGTTTTTTTAATTCAGTGGCAGGAGGGCCCCTAGGTCTGTCATCATTAAAACCCAGTGAGTCACCCAATACACACCTTGCTTCTCAAATTCTTCAAAGAGATTCAGGCTGGTAATGCTCGGGCCAGTGAAGATGATGTAGTTCTTCCCAGAGGCATTCTGACAAAGGCTTTTGGCCACCATACTGTGGAGCTGCGGTTTGTTCTTCAAAGCATCCAGCCCATCAGCACCACTCCCTTCTTTGAGATGGACATAAATCTTAAATGAGAAATGGTAAGAAAAGTCAGAAGGTTATAAGGAATCCAGAGGAAGCAGATGCAATTGCCAACATACCTGCTCAGCTCAACCAGAGACAAGCTGAGCATCAAGGCAGCAAATACTTTTTATGAACTGCTAATATCTAAAGCCCCTTTCAAGGGGCTGTTGCTTTAAAACCACCTCAGGTTAGCTGGCACAGCTACCGATAAATACAGTGTCCTTTGCCTCAGTTTAAGGGCTTCCTGAGGTGCTTGCCACTATTGTGCAGTTGGAAGATTGTTTGCTTGGCAGGAAAAGACTCAAGTCATAACTGAGATTATGTGTTGTACTGAATCTGCATAGGCTTTAATGCTGCCAGCAAAAGGAGAGCATGGGAACTTCAGTTTCAAAAAGGCCCGTACAAGATGACCAGAAGGAAAGGGCCCATTAGCTCACTGCAGTAAAGTTCAGATTTATTTCTGTTGACAGCAACCATTAGGCTGTGACACAAGCGCATCTGCACCCCCATAAATGAGAGGAGCCAGCAATATGCATACCCGACCAGCCAGAACATCCTCATCAAACTCTCCAGGCACAGTGCTAATTCTTAGATCACGATTTGGAGACAACCCACCAAAACAGACTGAACCAGGGTACAGCACAATATGCTGCTGTTAATAGGGAAACGCCTGGCTCATTTGTAGCAGGCTGCAGTAGCTTTAGCGTGTAGGCTGCTACCATGCAGTCCACAATGCTATGCATTTCAAGAGAGCTGTCACCATCATCTGTAGATGGACATACATGTTTGTGTTAGAGTGCAGGAACATTTACTCCTTAGTAACATGACTATCATTAACTCAATACAGTCCAGCTAGTATACCCACCAAATGAAAGAGCACTGAAGTAAAGCTATTCCTTCATTCCTACAAGTGATCGCTCTAGGAATCTTCTGCATTGTCATGTAGAGGGAGAAAGCACATAACCCTTCCTTTGTACACAAGCCTTCAATTTTTTTTTTTTTTTCACTGACAGTATTTTACAAGTATAACTTTCACCAAAGTTGAACACTTATTAAAATCAACTAGGCATCTGACCTTCATCTTGTTCTAAAGGTCAGCAGAAATAACCTGCTGGAAAGAGAAATGCGAAGAAGCAGACACTGTGCTCAGTCACTCAAACAGTACTGTAACACCATGGAACTTGCAAAGATTTAAAAACACACAAATGCAAATTTTCTGAAAAATTTGCCCAGGCCTGCCTTCGGTTCTGAAATACTCAAATCTTTTAAGAATTCCAGAAAATTTTACCTGTCGGACAAAAAGCTGAAACTTGCTCAAGTATTCAGCGGCAGGGAAAAAGAATTTTGCCTTGTCTGTTGGAGTGATGTATCCACAATGAGCTTTTGTTAAACTTGCTTGAGACTTCAACCATCCAGAACATGCAGCATTGCTTTCCTGTATATGCATCTGTTTTACCAACACACTCCTTCATAAAGGAAAGTTCATTACAATGCTCAGAGAACAAAAATGCTCACATTTACAGTAGTGCTCCCAGTAATTTATATCTCAGATGATCTTAGAGGGGAACAAAATTCAATTAAACAGCTTCTCCCTATTTTAGATGGTGTATCTCCCAGCACTGGTATTCTAGGCATATTAATGTAATATTCCCTAGCAATTCGTGCATTGTGGAACAGACCCCCCAGAGGAGTGTGTTATGTATGAAATCCCTGACAAATGAGACATAATTTGTATTTTGAAGTAATTGACATGCTAAAGAACAAAGTTGGTGCAAGGACAAATACATGCTAATTCCAAAAAGAAGTACAACACATATTAAAAGGAAGCCTGAAATATATATTATTTATCCTTAAAAAAAAAAAAAAAATCTCTTTTTTGATAGAAACAGTTTCCAGATGAGGACTAAGGCAGGAATGTTTATAGATTCCATGACCATGCTCTACTCACTTTTGAAAGCTGTCAAATTTGTGCTTTCCCAATGCTAATGTTGAGGACTAGCTAATTACGGTAAGTCATTTAGGTTATTAATCAGGGCTCAAGAGAGCAGCCTAACAGTGGAATGCATACAAAGAGCAGATTGTTCCAAATTTACAGCAAAGGTATTTCATGATTACTGGCATTGAAATTAAGATCAGGTTAGTAGTATGTCAGCACAGAGACCACACATCAAGCCCTTAAAATCTACAGACAAGGCAGTGGGGACAAAAGATGCAGACAGATTAGTTTTGACCTTGGATTAGCAGTTGAGCTGAAAACAAAGCAGGAATCTCTGTCTAGGAAAGTGTCCTACACTTTCCCTCCCCTATTGAAGTAGGTCTTAGCCAACCAAGAGTCTCTCCTGCTCCATGCTCACTTCGTGTTCCCCCCAGAGTATCCCTCAAGGGATAAGACAGTCTGCTGGTGAGCCAATTGGTCCCTCACCGTGGGCTGGTTTGGGTCTGCAAGCAGCTACTTTAAAGCGTCTGCCCACCATGCAACTGTGTACTGAGATACCACTGTTTTCCTACTAGGATGCTATGTACTCCATAGGTTTTGTAGCAGAGTTTCCTGTGCACCTGGCACCCTCCCTCTGCGCTCCTCTCTCGCGCAGGTCCTTGTAATGGCCGCCTTGTGATTCTCATCCCCCTTTGCTCTGTTCACCTCTCCAGTGCCCTTTACCAAAACATTCACACCCACTCCTGAACCTTTCCTCATGTTAAATATATCCCCTTTTTTTCTCCTTGGGCATTTTCCTGCCTATCCAAGCACAGCCTTTGTTCTTGGCACAATTTTTCTTGTTTTGGAGAAGCATCATTGAAAGCTTTATCGTGCTCAGCTCTATTGGGAAGATGGGTGACAGCAGCATAATGTTGCAAGGCATTAAAGCTGCTGTGAAACAGCGGCTGGGTACAGACAACTGGCAAAGGCATAGCTTCAAATATCCTTGCAAGTGCCTAGGATCCCATATGGCCTTTATTTTCCCTCTCCCCATCTTCTCACCCAGCTTATTTCATTCTACCTCAAATCATTAAGATCCTGCCTACTGAAGCCCACATCATTCTCCTCCATTCTGTAATGCATTAGAAATGGTATTTAACAGTTAGCAGTCTGCAGAAAAAGCAGAGTTGCCAGAAATTGGCTGCAAGACCTTCACAGGCACAGTCAGAAGCTGCTCCCCAAAAATGTTTGTTAAACTATTCACCAGAGCTTCTGGTTTGTCCTGTGACAGTGTTAGAGCTTTGTGCCCTTTCCATGTGCTCCAACAGCAAAACGTCGTCAGAAGTACAGGCTCGATGACTGCTGCTGGACAACAGATGGAGATGTTGGCAGCAACATCTTCTGCTTCTGTGGGTGACAGTCAAAGCAATGCTTCTTGAATGTCTGCAGAGACCACTTCTACTGTGTATCTTTTTCTAGCAGCTACTGATCCATTCAACGTACAGCACCAAATGAGATAACTTCTAGAGATCATCTGTCTTAGGAGGCAACTACAGGCTGAAGCTCTTTATCCTGCAGTGTTGGGACAGAAATGGAGCTTTCTCTAGTCATCCCTCAATTATTTGTTTCTTATCATCAGAACAGCTACACGTTCAGTTCTGCCATCTCTCTATCCACTGCAGCCCTACTGCACCAGCTAGTTTCAATCCAACGTTTTAGTCCCGTGCGCACAATACCAGCTCTCTTCTCACATCATTTAACTCATCCCTCAAACCCTCCTCTCTTCTGCCTTCAGTCTCCATGCAGCATCCTAACAGTCTCTTCTCTTTAAAAGCCTGACAGTAAGAAAAGACCTTCCCCATCTCTGGCTCATCCTTCCTTCCACCTACAACTGCTTCTGCCTCCTCCCATCACAAACACAAAAGTCAGTATCGATCAATATACCTGAATGCCCGAGCGACAGCGTATGGGTGAAGACTGTGCTGAGCTCTTCCAAAACAAGAAAAACAGTGCAAACTGTTCTGGAAAGACCATTTGCCTACACAGGGGCAATCAGAAAAGACATCACATTTCTGAGCAGGAGATTTCACATGCTGACAGATGAGAGACAAGTCAATCACCTGTCATTCAGAAACTCAAACCAAGTACGTTTGGCTACAGAGGCAGACTGCAGGAGAGAATGCCACCAGAGGACGGAAGGTCTCAGAGTAGACGTCTGTGCTACAAGCCAACAGGAATTTCCTTGCTCTGTGCTGGCAATTTACTCTATGGAAAATTCATGTGAAAGGTTCACAAGGTCTCACTAGAAACTGGGTAAAAAAACCGAGCACTTACGAACAAAAGCTGCATCTTGACTGCACATTTAAGAGTGCCCTAGAAACTAAAATATTGGCGATTCTGCACATATTCAAAGCTCAGATGGCAAATTGAAAGCACTTGTGAACAGCACATCCCAAATACTTCACATTCATACATAATTGAAGCACCCCAGGGTACAATTCTCAAATGAAATAGATGACATTTGGAAGAAAAAAAAAAGGCGGAGGTAGTCATAAACAGGAGAAAGATTTTGAAGGCTATATTGTGCAAACTATTTCAAAAAGGGCAGACCCTAAACAACCACAAAACAGAAGCCAACTTTTTAGATGACAGTTATAAAAGCAAGAGAACAAAGAATGGTACTGTCATGCTTTTTGGATCCTAAATAGCTATCAAAAAAATAACTTCATTTTTCTATAGACTTCACAGTCAAATACTCAACTGCTCATTCCTAGCACCACTCTCTAGATCCTGCCTGTCTTCCTCTCTCATCCTAAACCTCATGTCTAACTGTTGCCATTACCATCACTGTTGGGAGATCCTCCCTTCCAGTCCCACCTCAAACCTTCTGCAGCCCATATTCCCTCCTTCTTTAATGCCCTTCTCTCAGCCAGCTCTTAGGTCTAGCTCTTCCTCAGCAGCTGTTGGCACCACTGATGGTGCTCTTACTGAGACCGGATCTTTTAATTGGTTTGAGCCTCTCTTCATTCTCTTCCTACTCCTCTAAAGGCTGCTTTGAAAACAGCATTCAAGGGACATGGAGCT